CATTTCAACCAAACCATTTCTGTGAATATATATGGAAAGAGAATATTGTATGATAAATGGGAAGAATTTCAGAAAATTATGTTCTGAAATAATGGATCAATGTTTTTAGTTACATTTTAATGTAATGAAAGCAAATTTCAAATTGACGATGACAAATGCTTTGGCAGCACCGCATATAAAATTTGTAAGATGAGTAATATGGCAACTGTCATGCTAATGCTGTTCTATAAACGGTCGCCATATTTTTTTCACCACGGAAAGTGATTTGGTTCTTAAGAAAGTGTTAAATAATTCTTTAAACGAATGAAAAACTGAAAAATTTGCTAAAATAAAAAATATATCTAAGAAAATTGTTCAAGAAACAGAAATGAGTGATGAATATATGATTAACGCAGAGCCGCCAGAAAATTATGCAGTGGCATCTCATTATAGTGGCAGCAGTAGAGCAAATGCTGACGAGGATCGAGAAAGTTGTCGCGATCAACGTGATAAACAAGACCGCTCACGGTCCAGATCAAGAGATCGTGGACGTGAAAGGGAACGCGATAGAGAAAAAAGTAAAAGAAAAAGGTAACTTGCTTTAGAAGAATTTAAGGTTATGTGTCATTGATTTTTCCTACAAATATCTAAATCATTTTTTTTTTAAATTTATTTAGAGAACGATCAAGAGATCGGGATCGGGACCGGGATCGTGATCGTGATCGTGATAGGGAGAGAGAACGTGAACGTAAACGTGAAAGTCGTGAGCGGGAAAGTCGGGATCGTGACGTAGATCGGGAACGTCGTAAAAGAGATAGGGAACGCGAACGGGAAGCACGGGGACGACGTAGTCGTTCTCGTACATATGATGATTACGAAAGTAGGCGAAGGCGCAGCCGCGACAGACGAAGAGATCGTGATCGATCCCGTAGCCACAGTTATGATCGTCACGGTCGTCGTAGCCGCGAGCGCAGTCGCAGTCGTGATCGAGGTCATGAGCGAAGCCACGAAAGAGAACGCGGTCGTCGAAGTTTTTCAAGGGAAAAATCTGAACGTAATCGATTAGAGCCCATTAAAGAAGACGTACGCGAAACTCGTTTCGATTTAACACAGACTATACAAGAGTTAATGAGCACCACATCGTCTACGAAAAACTTTGCTGCTCTTTTCAACAATACTAACAGCAATGATTCTATTAGCAATGGTCTCTCGGAAAACTCGCGTAAGTTTGCAGCAAAATTTGAAGCAAAATTTGTGCAAATGTTAATCGGCTTTTTATTGCAGAAGATGGCATTGAGCGTAGACGTCGCAAAAAATCGCGTTGGGGTGGTACCGAGAATGATAAAACTTTCATACCTGGCATGCCGACAATATTGCCGTCAACTTTAGATCCCACACAGCAGGAAGCTTACTTAGGTAATATATTTATTGTTATTTTCCAAAAAAAAAAAAAAAAAAAAGCAATGCTATGGTTTAAGGTTGTGCATTAGTCGTAAGTTAGGATATTAAATTAGTAATAATAATTCTTTTAACAACTACAATTCAACATCATCACCGGGTCTTCTCAGGCAAATTATGCCCAACTCAGATGCGTTTCCAACAATGTTTAAGTACAAAATAACATTTTAAGTAAATCAATTACTAAACAAAAATTCCGTTCTCTATTTTTGAAGGAGGAAATCCATGTAATAAAAAAAGACAGTAAAAAGTGTTAATACCAAGGACGCCAAGTTGCTTAATGACTTTGGAAACTCCATGTGGAAATCCAAATTTCTCTGTTAATGCCATTTCTTTTAACATTATTAACTCTTTAGTATTTGCAGTTTTTGTCTTTTTAAAAGAAAAGAAAAAAAAAAAAACTAAGAATTTTTTTTTTATATATAATATATATAAAACACCTTTTCACTGCGTTAACTGTAAGTAAGTATTACGGAGGCAAAGGAAAGAATTACGCAGACGTATACATTTTCAACGGTTTTAATGAAAATAATTATTGATTACTCTGTTTTATTGTTTCAGCGTTCAGTGTATTAAGTTTAGAAAAATCATCAATAACTAAAAACCAAATTTTTGTATAATTTTCTTTTTGTTTTTTTTTTTTTAAATATTTATACCAAAAAAAAGAAATCACTAATAACGAGGCTTGCCCTCGATTCTTTTTTCTCTTTTTTTCTTAATCCACAATTTTAATTACAGTTCAATTGCAAATTGAGGAAATTAGCCGCAAACTGCGCACTGGCGACCTGGGTATACCACAAAATCCTGAAGAAAGGTTTGCACTAATATTTAGTTTTATACATTAATGTTAAAAGCATTTTTGTATGTTTACATTGTATAAAGTCAGCTGAATGGCCAGGAGGGAGACAGCTTGGAAAACTTGTGATCGCTGAAAATATGCCAAAAATCTTAAATGGATTTTACAGGTTTTCAAGTGAGGTGTATGGGCCAAAAAAAAAAACTTAAATTTGTATAATCTGTAGTTTGGTGAAAAATTAATTGTTAATGACCTGATAGTGTCGATAGAATTAACTAGGCGGAAAGGATTCCGAACTACGAAATCTAGATTTGGCTGATTTTACGATTTCTACCATCAGCTAGCAAGTTTAGGTGCATCGGATAATAATGCGGGTTTTGTAAAAAAAAAAACCTTAGAAGAAAGCTCAGCGAAGTAGCTTTTATATAGAATTCCTATGGTTAAGCCGAAAAATATTCAGAGTGGGATATTTAATTTCCTTACACAGGTTTTTACTTTCTCTTTATAAAGTCTGTTACTGGAGACATTCCCATGCTCTGGAAGCTACTTCAAGTTCAACATTTCTTGAAGGAGATAGCAAATGTTGTTTCAAAGTTGAATAATAATTGAACAAAAATAAGCAAGAATATCATAGCCGGGCAAGGCCAGTCATTACATACCCTACACCATTTCGCCTAATAAGTTTATTCACTCGTTTTGGCCATAACGCACCAAAAATTACACATTATTTTCATGCAACGGCATACTTTTCATGAAAGCCAGTTTATTGGAGAATGGCCAAAATACCATTTTAGCAAATTTAATGTATTCTCTAAAAAATGCTTATTTTTCTGTTTCCGTCAAAAAAAAGTATAAATTAGTCTCGCACCCCTTATAAGGGCTTGTTTTCATGATAGCCCCTATATATGTAAGGGTCTAAAAAACAAACCTATGCGATCCCAACTTCCCTATTGTTTATTTATTTTTCTTCCTTAATTAGTGTTAAGAGCGAATTTTTATCATAAAATATTGAAAACAAAACTTTTTTTCTCAAGAACTTCATGAGAAATCTCGTAACTTGTCTGGAGTGGCGTCCAAGAAATAGGCCCACTTGGTTCAAATTTCGTTTACTGAATTTACTACTACCACGAACAAATTTTCATCGCAAAGCCGTCACAATTAGATCTTAGCGTGTAAGGGGTTTGCATTTCCTGAGGGTGATTCGATAAGGTTGATTTATTATTATAAACCAATTTTCAGAATGAAATATTGAAAATTATGCCTTTTTATTATATAAAGATTGAGTTTTTGTAGGAGCGGTTACATTAGGGACGGTTCAAAGATTACCCTAATCCAACCGAATTTTTATACCAATTTCGAATGTGAAACCACTACTATTCATTGAGTTTTGTCGAAATATTTGAAAAATTCTAAGTTTTCTTCCATACAATGACTCTTCAAAATAAGGCGGCGGGTGAGGGGAGCAGTCGAAAAGGTCTACCAATCGGATAGCATTCGTCGTTGGGGAGAAAACAAGACGGATAGACAAGCTTAGATCGACTCAGAAAATGATTTCGAATCGATCGGTATGATAATAGGTGCGTCTGTTTGTACCCAGATCCACAGATGGTGTAGAGAATATAATAAATTTATATCAATATATATATTTAGATCACAATATTTAAAATCCAATAGTCAGTTTATTAATTCATTCTCAAGCGCTTGATGCATGTTTCGCGATCCGTTAACGGGTTTTGAAACTGAAATAGTTTTCCGTCCTGGTCATTTCAATCGGAATTGTGTTTCAAAAACGTACTCATGTCGTCCCTCCTTTGTTACTGCTGACCGCAGAAGTTGTGAAAAGGGATATGATGTGCGTCTAAACATATCCATTAAGGATAGAAGTTAGTAAGTGCAGATTGAGAAATTAGGGGTAATGTGTACTAAGGCCAAGTTGAAGTCGACGAAAAGACATGATTTGACGAGACAAAGTGCCTTGGATTGCCGTGGCGTAGTTGCCGTCTTCTTATCGTTAAATGTGCAGATACCCGTTAAAATTGCTTTGAAGAGGTTTCGGAGAAAATTGTATCTTTACGTATCGCTTGTCTGTCTCTATACCACCAGATGTAATTAGCAACCCGCATTATGGATTGGTGCACCTAACAGTTCACTTCGTGAAAAATAGATGAAAACTAGATTCGGTAACTGTAGAAATGAATGATGTTAGAGAAGCTTATCAATTCCTTTTTATAAGTTTTCAGCGTAGATCGCTTTAAAAGGAAATGTTTAGACAAAATTAGAGGGATTTATGTACTTGTATTGTATACATTTATATATATATATATATATATATTATTAATAGGTAAATATTGCAATCAGTTAATATATGTTTTACATAATCAAACTAATGAAAGATTTCCAATTGTAAATCTTTAGGTGAAATTCATTTAAAAATAAATGTTTAAAATATACAATGATCGGTGTGGGTGGTGTTGACAGAATTCTCCTAAAAACAAAGAGAAAACAGAACCAAGTAAGCCCAAAAGTAAAAGAAAACGTTTTGTGTTGTGTGGAACTAATGAGACTTAATAATAATGAACAAAAATTTTCTTTTTTTCCCTCTAACAAAAGGATAAAAAATCGAACAAAGCGAGACAAAGGGGTCACAATATAACAGACACACTATCCGTCCAGCGTGCATATTTAATTAAATTAATTATTATTAATTTTTTAATTAATCAAAATTCTTTTCTTTTTCTCAACAAGCAATTAATTTAAAAAAAAATAATTAATTATAAAATTTTTTAAGGATTTACAGGCTTTTTTTTTACATGTAGGATCTAAAATATATACTATATAGTTAAAAATGAGAAAATATTTCGGTCTTGAAAATTACGTTTCGTTAGAAAATTTATTGAATGAGTTATTTTTGCTTTTGTGTTTCGTTTCTATAGATCTCCGTCACCCGAACCAATTTATAGTTCTGATGGTAAGCGTTTGAATACACGAGAATTTCGTTATCGTAAGAAATTGGAAGAGCAACGTCATCAGTTGATTCAGAAGATGCAATCGGTTAATCCGGATTTTAAGCCTCCATCTGATTACAAGTATGTTGGTAAAATTTTGTAAAGAATATTGTCTGCATATGTTTTGTTTTCTCAAGGCCTCCGGTTACTCGAGTTATTGACAAGGTTTTGATACCACAAGAACAACATCCTGATATTAACTTTGTGGGTCTTTTGATTGGTCCACGTGGAAACACTTTGAAAGCAATGGAAAAAGAAACTGGCGCCAAGATTATAATACGTGGTAAAGGTTCCGTGAAAGAAGGAAAAGTAGGGCGCAAAGATGGTCAACCTTTGGCCGGTGAAGATGAGCCGTTGCATGCTTTTATCACTGCTCCAAATCCGGAAGCCGTTAAGAAGGCTGTTGATAAGATTAAAGATGTTATACGCCAAGGTATCGAAGTGCCCGAAGGTCATAATGATTTACGTAGAATGCAATTACGTGAGTTAGCTCAACTTAACGGAACATTGCGTGAAACTGATTGCCCCCGTTGCACCAATTGCGGCTCGACGGAACATAAATCTTGGCTATGCCCAGATAAACCGAATATAACCAATAGCATTGTTTGTACTGCCTGCGGTGGCGCCGGTCATATATCCAAAGATTGCCGCAGTAAGCGTCCTGGCGCTGTTGGTGAGCTTGGAAGCGTCGAAAATGCTGAGAATTCTCAAGCTAAAATCGATGAAGAGTATATGAGCCTTATGGCCGAATTGGGTGAAGGTCCACCTCCATCAGCTCAACCGAAACAAAATGCTGATCCTTTGGCTCAAGTGCATATCAATAGAGGTTACAGCATTTTTGATAAGAAACCGTCTGCTATGCCAGCTATACAAGCGCCAGTACCGATAGGTCCGCCCACGACAGTACCGCCTTTGCCGGGTGCAATGCTGCCAGTCGCACCACCACCGCCTATGCCGCCGGGATGGGGTGCGTCTAATGGAGCTCCTGCTGTGCCGATGCCGCCATTAATACCACCACCACCCAGTTCACAACCAGCCCCACCACCAACTCCACCCATGATGCCGTGGATGAGCGCTGCCCAGCCGCCACCACCGGGTGGTGATCCACCGCCTCCACCTGGCACCAGTCCTTTACAACCACCCGGTACTGGCCCAATGCCGCCATTAATACCACCACCACCCGGCACGGCACCATTGCCACCATGGCCGCCGGCTACTAACATAATGCCAAGTTTCCCGGCTTGGGGACCAGCACCAGGTGCCTATCCGCCTCCTCCTCCGCCACCTTGCGCACCTCCACCACCAGGAATTAGAGGGCTCGCTCAACCCCCTCCTCCGCCTCCTCCGGCTAATTAAAAACTTTCGATACTATTTGGTAATTAAAACATTTGGTTGAAATAACAAACAAAATCATCAAACACAACAAAAATAAAAACAAAATTTTTAACAGAAAATGTTTCTTGAAGAAGAACATTTATTATCCATGACGGTCCCCGCGCACAGGCTGAAGAAGAAGATTTCAGTTTTCTCTCTAGCTAATTAAAATATCCTGCCATTTTCACGATACCGTGAATATGTTGCTGATAATCATCCACAATGGCAATAGTAACATTTGTAATAATTAAGGTAGAATTTTTAAGTGAGATAAAAAGTTGTATTACTATATGAATAATCGCTAAAGCACTTCAATGTCCGATAACATTTTACTTGAACCTATATATATATATGTATATATATATAAATATTTTATGCTAAATATTGATTTTCTGTAATCTCTTGAATAGAATCTTTAATAAAGATTATCTTGGCATCATGGAGATTTTCCCCCGAGTTTCAACAATAATCAAAGTAAAGTGAAGGTATAACATTTTTGCAACGAACTGAGCTATGGAAAGCTGAAAAAAGGTCTCACAGATTTAATTGTGGCTTCCAAAGCATATGTAAATCGGAGCATATATACACTTTATGGTGATTTTAGTGCCCACTGTTAATTATTATAATAATTTAAAGTTTCGCCTATAAGGTTTTTTGCTCATCGGTAAGAATCATACCTAATAAATTTGTAATTCGAACTATAAGACCCAACAACACTCATAGAGAAAAATATACATGCAGTTGCGACATCATTGCTGCATAGGAGGCATAAGGCACGTACAGCAAGCAACAGTGAAAACTGCAAAATCTATAGAAAATATAAATGAATTTAATAATAATATTAACTCCAGGGAAATAAAGAGCTCAAGAACGCTTGATAATTTCTATGTAATGTACGGGTAAACAAAAACTTTTTAATTCCGTGGGTTTTCAATTTATTTCAACTTGAATCATGATTAGACATTATATAGAAAGAATATAACATTCAAAGTCCCCAAATATAAACACAAATAACTCAAATCCCCCGTTTTTAAGTGAGAATGTTTGGTAGCAGTCCAAGGCTTAACCATGTTTATTGAAATATTCTTTTGCTTTGTTGACATCCGGTTTTATGGTATCGGGATTTGTTTTCGGATTCCAATTAGCTGGGCATACTTCGCCATGTTTATCGACAAACTGGAATGCCTTGATCAGACGCAGAACTTCATCGACTGAACGTCCAACTGGAAGATCATTGATCGAGTACTGGCGGACATTACCATTAGGATCAATTATGAATGTTCCACGTAATGAAATGCCTTGACTTTCCAATAGAACACCATACTTTTCGCTAATTTGTTTCGTTATATCGGAGAGCAAAGGGTAGTCAAGTCCGCCTAGGCCACCGGCTTTGCGATCAACGTTGGCCCAAACTAAATGGCTGAAATGCGAATCTACTGAAACCCCCACAACTTCGGCGTTCAACTCTTTAAATTCCTTAATACGCTCGCTAAAAGATATAATCTCTGTAGGACATACAAAAGTGCTAAAGGAAACAAAAAAGTAGGAAATTGCATTTACGTCGATATTAGACAAATGAAGGCAGATGATTGCGTTTTTGTACTTACAAATCTAGAGGATAGAAAAACAATACCAAATATTTGCCATTATAATCTGACAATTGGATTTCTTTAAATTCCTTGCCCACCACAGCAATACCTTTGAAATCCGGTGCTGGCTGCTGGATCTTAACAGAGAGCAAAGGAGTAGCTGCGCACGTATGTTTATTATGAAAAGATAAAGCAGAGAATTTCAATTCACGCAGACGAAAGAGAATAATCCCAATTTTCCAAAAAACTTACTTTGATGCAGTAAACGTGTTAGTGTTTGTCGTGTTTGCTGTTGTTGACACAATTGCTTGCCAATTTGTGGTAACTACATTACAAAATTGCAAAAATGCTTTAAAAACTGGGAATGTCACTGAATTACGTAATTTTTTCATTAATTTTCATCCCAATTGATGCTAATTGCATTTATTTACCAGAATCATGCTTTAGGATAAATACTCACATTTTTTAACAAAGCTTTGGCCAAGAGAGACATGATCTAGGCAACGTTTTTCAATTGCTGCGACAGCTATTTGCTAAAGTTATGGAATTATTTACTGATTAAGTCGATTAAGATTTGATTTATAATTTTTTCTTGACCGGTTTTTTTTTTTCTTTTTCTCTTTTTATTTTTTTTTTTTTTTTTTCATTTTTTCAAGGGAATTATGAGTTGCCAAGTCTTGGTAGAAAGTTTCGGTATTTGTAGGTTAATTAAAATGAGATAGTTTCGTTCGTTTTTTTTTTTTTTTTTATTATGAGAAAGTAATTTGAAAATTAGGTTTCAAATGGTTTACCAGAAATAAAATATTGTATCCGTTAAAATGGAATTATTTGCATTCACAAGTTAGTATTATTCAATGTTATTTTGTATTAATATTAGCTTTATCCTCCCTGATATGGAAAAGAAAGAACGGTAGAAGAAGAAGACGAAGATTATTAAAAAAAAGGACGACGGCAACAAGCATTGCAACCCAGCTATCTTTATTATAAGTTCATCAAGGGTTTATTTACGATATCGCCGTAGATGTTTTATTCGTTAAGATTTATAAGGTTATTAATAATGTTTATTATGTTGCTGAAGCTGTCGTTGACCGATTTCGCTTGGACCAGTAGTTATGGTTGCAGAAGTTATTTTTGGTGTATTTCGATTCAATTTTGAGCGATTAATAGCTGAATTCACGTAGTTTGTCAGTATGTCTGCCTCATAACGTATTTGACTTGAATTTACTGGGCAATCACTAGTACGTGCAGCTTCAACAAACCTTGCTTTATTACGATCGAACCACTTTTGGGATTTGTCGATTTTTTCAGAAATGTTTATAGATTCCGCTTCGGTGAAGTGAGCGTATTTATCCACGCCCTTCTTAAAGTCGGCAATAACAGCGCGGGCAAATGAGATGGCGCGCTCCAGCTCGTCAAAAGCTAAAGGGCAACGTTCATAATCATTTGCACGGGCATTAATTGGATTAATTCTTTGTTTCAGTAGATAGAGTTTATCCATATAAGTATCATAATCGGTATCGACACCATCTTCGTATAACCAATTTTCAACATCGTTAAGTTCAGTGCAAATACTTTCCCGCTCTATCGGAAAAATGTGCTGATCCAAATGTCCCCCAAGCAATTTGCTACGCATTTCGTAGACATACTCTTCCAAAGCATTTTTGGCGTCAATACGTTTTGTTTCGCTGGCATCGTTGGCTGACATTCTCTCCTCAAATAGCCTCAAGTCTTTCAATTCTTTTTGACAAATGCCATGAATTTGAAATTCCATTGGTAAGTTCACATATTTTGAGGATCTCTTGTCATTGTCATCGTCCATCACTTTGTTTGTCTGCCTATCTGTGGAAGTGTTTGCGCGGCTTGGTATACGGCTTTTCTCACTGTCTTCGATCATGCCTAGTTTCGGTCGTTCTATTGCTGTATGTTGAAGGCTTGTCGATTTTCTCTCAGTATCATTTTTGTCAGCTAGTGTAGCTCTTGAAATCACTATCAAGCCATGTTGATTAATTTTTACCTTCACCTTAATATCGTTATATTCTCCATGATTTTTGGCTTTTATCTCTTTGATAGTCCATTGACCAATAGTAGGATCTGGATAGGGTATGGATTGAGAGTATCGTACCGTTAAGTTAAATGATTCTTTGCGGCTTAAAGTCAGCAAACGACTGGTAGGTGCCTCATGAAAGGCGGGAAATATTTCGACGCTACTACCAATACAAGAGCCTTCGCCACTCCAGCTCACCTCAACAGCATAGTTTTGAATATCAGTAATTTCAAACTTACGTACACGAAGAGCGGGTGACATCATAGCACATTGTAGTGCCCCGCCGCGCGAAACAGCCTCATCCTGATTCAAAGTGGTACACACCGTTAAACCAAAAACTTTCTCAATCAACTCTTTAATTGCTGGTATGCGTGTACTGCCGCCAACAATTTCCACCGAATGAATTTCTTTCAAAGGTAATTTAGATTCAATTAAGAGCCTATTGAGTGTATCTTCAACACGTCCCAACAGTGAATCGCATAATATTTCCATTTGATAACGATGCATGCTCGACGATACATCGATATCACCTATGAAGCATTCAATCTCTAGAGGCAAGCTGGTATTGTTTGTCGACATTTGTCTTTTCATTTTGTCAACTTCACTTAATAAACGTAACCACTGTCGAGAATTATGTTCGATTTCGATTTTGTAGCGTTGCTTGAATTCCTTGGCAAAATAATCAGCTATGACAACATTAAAGTCTCGACCGCCAACTTGATCCCAACTACTGGCCAGCATCTTGAGCTTACCCTTGGTAAAGGCACATGCGCAAACTTGCAACGAAGAGTCGCCGCAATCCACGAAGATTACATTGCGCGGATTATCGCTGGGCAGAGCTTGCTTATAAAAACCATATGATAACGCTATGGCGGTTGTTTCGTTTAGCAAACGCAATACGTTTAAGCCGGCAATTTTTGCGGCATCGAGCAAAGCTTGTCGCTCAGCGTTTGTAAAATAAAATGGACAAGCGATGACACAATCGGACACTTGTGCCTGTAAAGCCTGAGAAGAGGTCTCTTTCAATTTAGTAAGTAACATGGCCGTCACTTGTTCCGGCGTAAAAAAGTGCGTCTGCCCCAAATAATGAACGCATATATTGATGCCATTATCCGATCTCTCTTCAATTTTGGTTGGAATCATCGTTAACTCATGCTGCACATGAGGATCATCGAATTTTCGACCCAACAATCGTTTAAATCCAATGACCGTATTTTCTTTGTTCGACCCATACTGATTCTTCGCGGCCGCACCAATAATCCGCTTCCTTCCGGCGAATGCTACGAACGATGGTGTTGCTCTCAAACTGTAATCATTATCCAATGTTTCGACACCACCATTCTTAACCGTAGCCACGAAACACGAATCATTACCAAAATCGATTCCAATCACTGACATGTTTTTGTTTTAATTAGCGGCGTGATAAGCGAAACTTTTTGGTCTGAATTTAAAACTTATTGGTGTTAGGAAATATACAATTTTTTTTTGTTAACCCAAATTCAAAATTTACTATATTTTCGTTTACATAAAAAAACATCTGAACGAGAGACGTTACGAGTTACGAGTCAAAAAATTAAACATAAGCGGAATGACTGCACAAGAAAAAAAAAGAAAAAAACGTGTGCATATACAATGTTGATTACGACTTTACGTTAACATCAAATCAAAATTCATGTAATGTCTTCGACCGTCAACTATAAGTTAACCTCAACGGAAACTCGCAAGTCACAAGGCAATCAATGTGGTTTTCGCCACTTAACAGGAAATTATTGAAGACCTTTGTTGTGGCTATTGCTACATAGGCTATTGGAATACCAAATTTGATACAAAGTCACAAAAACTATGATAAGTGAACCCATCATTCTCACTTTGGATTACAATCCCAGAATATGGCTGCAAGTCTGTTTACTTAGAGACTTAGAGACAAGCGTAACCAACATAAGAGGAATCAAAACCTGGCACCGATGTGCGTTACAAATGCCTTCAATTTATTTCTATTAATTGAGGTTAAGATTTTAGATTGTTAAATAAGTCGTTTACTTAAACTTTTTAAGTACGTAACTTTTACGATTATATATGTTTGATTCATCTCTGATGTACTTTATGACAACAACGCGAACACGATATAAATTTGATGCGAATCTGTTCTCAGTTCAGTAAAAAAAAAGAAAAAGGTTGAAACAAAAGGGACTTTTGGTATTTTGCTTTATGTACTTAGGAGTGTGTGGCTTGATCAGAAATTAACAGGAATTTTCAAATTGCTCGTATTATAACAATGGTAACGGAGCGTTTAAATATAATTGATTGAGCATAAATGGGGAACTAAAGTCATTCCTAAAATGCGCCTTCTTTTCTCAAACGCTGATAAGTCAATTCATTTCTTGCGATTTTCATAGGGCGGAAGAGGTAAGAACGTACCCCACCACAGTCCACACAAGGCAAAAAGGACGAAGTGTTTTTGCACTGATTCGATGCTGTCTGTCTGACAAGAAGAGCTTGTAGTCCAGACAATTGACGCATACTCTAGAATATGTCTTGCAAGCGGCGCAAACCAACTCTATGTTATGTAGGGATCATAAAAATCTTTCGACCAACTCATCATTACGTGACGAAGAAACGCATACGCATAACGAGTAACGTATATCCCTCAAAAAAGTCGTTTAAGAAGCTCGAATACGAATATGATGTGACTACGATGCTGCCTATATTCTATAAACATAATCCGGAATGAGTTGAGATGGAATTACAGTTCATTAGAACAACCCAAACCAAAGACGTTTTTCATTTTTCCAATCAGTGAAATCTATTCGTCTGTCTGTCCGTCTATTGCCTTTCCGCATACTTTTGCGTTCAGTCTGCAAGTAGCAAATTTTCAAAATATTTTCTTTAAATAATAATACGAAGTGTGTCTAAAATCGTTTCGATCGGATCGCTTCAACGCTTGCTTCTCATATAATGATCAACTTGCGAAATGATGTAGGGTATTAGAGGGTCGAAACTGCTTTGCTGCTCCGATTCCATTTATTTTGCTAAAATCTTAAATATAAAATAAATAACGCAGTGATTTCTTATGTTCTCCAAAAGTAAAAGGGCCGCCAGAAGGATAAGGTTTTTAAAGATGAGGTTATATGATTGCAAGATAGCCTAACGAAGATCAGGGCTTTTCAAATTGGAAAGAGTTTCCGCAAAAGCAAATTATGTCAAAGAAATATGTTGGTACCACACATACGAAATTTGAATGAAAAGACGACATGGAATCTTGATATGGTGTTATGTGAATCATTTCTATTAAATCGCTTAATGGAAGCGAAGAAGAAGTGAAATAAAAAAAGAGTGTTTTCCCTCCCTTAGAATCGAACGAGATGTGTTTAAAAAAAGATGACTTTTCAGAATTCGTAGGCTAGGTAGACTGCGTACATTTGATTCTCGATTATTTATGTTTTTTTTTTTTTTTGTCTTATTTTGGTACACATGCCACCAACATACATGGTTGACGTTATCAGCCGTTCTGCATTTTTAGCTCGCTTTTGACAGATGCAAAGGTTAGACTGCCTTTTTGCTATCAAAAAAATGGATCAAAGAATCTGTATTAAATTTTGTGGAAAAAATAAAACAAAGTGCTCCAACTCGTTTAAAATGTTGAGTATGGCAATTGGCGAATCTACTTTTAAGCAAAAAAAATGTTTAAAAGTGGCACGAACTCTTCACAGAAGGCCGAAAAAATGTTAATAACAATGCTCGTCCTGCACGCTCACCCCCAGTACGTTAACAACCTATGAAAATGTTGACGCAGTACAGAGAATTGTTATGGAGAATCGTCCAATCACCATTAGAGAAATTGCTGAGGATGTCGACATATCAATTGGCCCGTGCCATGCCATTTTTTCAGATGTTTTACGTATAGCACGTGTGGCGGCAAATGCGTCAACCCACACGTCATTGCTTGTACGTAATTTTTTGGCCAAAAACATCACGATGATCATGTCTCAGCTACCGTATTCATTGGATATCGCTCCCTGCGCCTTCTTCGTGTTCTGGAAAGATTAGTGAAAGGATAAAGTTCTGCCACGGTTAAGGAGATAAAGACCGCATGGCTGGAAGAGCTCAAGATAGTACCAAAAAACGCATCTCAGAAGTACCTCGAGGTTTGGAAAAGCATTGGCCCAAGTCTATTGCATTTAAGTGAGATTACTTTGAGAGGAACAACATAGAGTGTTTTAAAAGACCTCGCTGTAGCCGGTGTTGTTTGGGGGAAAAAAGGAGTCCATCATTTGCTTGGAATACTACGAACGAGGGCGGCTTTTGTGGAATTTTGCTTTTAAAAGGTACTTTGCATATTCGACCTCTCTATTCCTTCTAGAGTTTATTCGGCTAAACGTGAGAAAAGATTTTTGTGGCAAACTGCTATACGAAATTTTGACGTATGCTGAAGTTTACACAACCCCTTCTTGTGACAAATTTCGACAATATTTAATGTTTGCTTTTTGCTGTAGCTCCTACGCATTACACAATACGCTTAGCAATTCAAGGTCAAACGATGAATTCATCTGTCAATAGTGACGATTAAAGACAACAATGATTGAATGCATTAGAGAGGCGATGAAAACGATTATCACAAAAAAACTCTAAACCTAAGCTCTACTAGGCGGTACTTTTGTTTACACTCCTCAACGTATGCAGTCTATTGTTTAGAACGTTTAGTTCACGCTCTGTCCCAATTAGTAATAAAAAAAAATTTGTTAATTTTCATCCGGCTTCTCCCAGATGTTAGGGAATGAGGTCAACAATAAAAAATCCAAGTTTTGAAACTTCCTAAGTCGGTGCCAGACTTTTGCTTTATTATTAGCGAAAAAATAAGTTAACCATTATGTTAATGCGAAGGATGTGAATATTAACAGGGTGCTCTAACAGATTGAAAAAGTATGGACGAGGTTTTCATACGTTTAATGTTTAAATGTGAAAATGTATGTTTGCGATAATTTCAGTTTTATTTTTCACCTAAGAACGAACTAAATAAAAACAAATGCACACATGTAACACGTATATAAAGGTGATGTTAACATAAGTGTTCAAAAACGTATTCAGAATTTTAAGTATAATAACTTTGGATGTAAGCGCGAATACGTTTGGGCCTGTGTAATTCAGTTACAGCATAAATTGATACAAAGTCCCCGTTATATACTAACGTTCATAGTTAAAACATATACTAATGTTTTCGACTATATGCATGTAAATATGAAAGTATGTGTGCATGTGTATGTATGCGAACGCTACACTCATTATTGACGTTAATTACCAAATTACTTAAAAGCACAACATGTTGTTTTAGCTTTAGCACTGAACAGACACTTTTGAATTTTGTTATTTTCTCTGTTCAAAAAAGCTTTCAAACACACATGTCTACCTAACATGAATATATAAATACTCATACATATCCGATTTCTTTTGCCAAAAAAAATGGCGGCTATAACGCAAACGAGGGCATGAGGTGGGGAGGAGAAGTTGGTGAGAAGAGTGTACTTCGGCTTCATAGTGGTTTATATATAAATTAGTGCACATGTGGTACGTCTAATACGAGGCCAAAACGAAAATTCTCGAGCAATATTCTCCTAGCTCTCTCGCTCTTTCTTTCTCTATCTCAATGGGCTAAAGTTCTTCATTTTGGCAGAAAGTAAAGACTTGAACGTTGCATTTGTGATTATTATTATTATTATTGTTATAAAGTTCGCCAGAGAACAGATTCTAAGAGTAAAGCCTTAAAGCGCTGGCATCTAAGGCTTTCCGGCTTTATTAAAAACTCTACCGCACTCCACCGGCTTTATTAAAACACGACCATTGAGTTGCTAGTGGAGACTCTTGCCTACTCGGCCATTCAGGCGGATTAGCATTTGTGATACGTAAATCTTGCAATGAGGACAAAATATTTGGCAAAAAATCGATCTGAGATTTTAAATTGCATCCTTATTAAGTAAAGGGTGTGGAATGTTCCGAAACATTTACTGGTGATAGGATGCTTAAGTCCTCTCCTAACGTTTCTTAGCGTTGAACTTAATTTTGATGTGGCAATAGCCGTGAAGAGGCTTTCGCTAAATCTGAAGAATAGCGCAACAATGAACATCTTTTCACTTATGCTTTCACGTACGCTTTCATCCTCAATTCGATCACAACATTTGCGTAGCGTTCGCTTCATAATGCTTGAGGAAAAAGTTCAGTTATAATATTTTCATTAAATGGATGCAACTTCGCCTTTTAGATTGCCGGGTTAACTGTTTCCTTTCAGTGCTTTACTGCTGATTTACTTCTGTGACGAGTAAATTGATTCCCTAGTCTCAACTTACCCAGTAACATATTGGTTCATAATCAATTCTCTCTTGTAGTATGGTCCTTAGATGTTCACC